GGGGGGGGGCAAAAAAAAATCTTGCACCAGGGCCCTTTGTTCCTTAGCTCCGCCACTGGTTAGGATTGTTTATTGTTGTAGCTAAGAGAAGGTACTGATCTTCAGAGTAATGCTAACTACTAGCACATTTAAGCAGGATGTGCATGGTTTTTGTACATAAAGAAGCCTTTACTTGGAGAAATATGCAGACGAACTGTTTGACCTCCTTCTGAAAGTACTGATTGCCCAATAGTGACTTGGAGAAAACATGCAGAAACTGAAGTCAGAACAACTGAAGGTCTTATTTCTTTCAGGTCAGTAATTCAGAATGTTCTGAAGCTACTGATCACCATGAAAACCAGGAAGCACATGTAACCATAAGGAGAGTTTAACAAGTGCACTCTCTATTTCTTTAAGCTCATGTTTCCATTAAGGTTTGTGGGAAAACTACTGGAGTGAACAAAGATGGCATCATCAATGCAAATTAACAATGCTCAATTATTTGTCCAGTGCTCTCAGTATACCTTTTTGCTGACCTTACTTGAACTTTGCCTGCCCTGACCTGTGACCCCAACCAGGGGCTGACTGGCAACTTTTAGCCCAGAGGGCAAGTACAACACAGAGGCCCATGGTGCAGCGACTTGGCCCACTTCCCACTTTGCCTCTTCCCCCCTCTTGCCTGTTCTATAATTTTTCTCGACCCCATTCATTTTCTCAACCGAGTCACTTACGGTGAGGACATGTCATTCGAATCTGCTGTTTTCATGACCCCTTTTCTTCATGCACACCTGGAAGTAACGCGGTAGATGCATTCCTGGGTTGAGGAAAATGATAGCACACCAGTAGCAGAGGGATATCTCGTCAGTGCGGTACACGACCGCTGCGACCCTGGTAGTTCTGCCACTAACTCCAAGCTGTAGACCAGGGGTAGCCAAACTCCATCCCTCCAGCTGTGGTGGAACTACAAATCCCATGAGGCATTGCGAGATTCTCACAGCCACAGCCATGACTCCCGGAGAGAGATGCATCATGGGATTTGTAGTTTCACCACAGCTGGAGGGCCGGAGTTTGGCTACCCCTGCTGTAGCGGGACTACAAATCTCAGCACTATAGCAATGTAGATTAATACCATCAGCTATAGAGGACTACAATTCCCAGCAATACATTATACAGCAATGCAGAATAGTATATTAATTTGCTACATACTCTTTGCTGCTGCTCTGCTCCGGGGTGTCAGCCTGATGTCTTGGTCGGAGGGTCTCAGGAGGGGTGTGGAGGGTCTCTGCAGAGGGAGATGTGCGGGCAAGGGAAGAGCTGTAAGCAGGCACCATGTGGTTACCCAGAAGGCTGCTACGTAGGACCTAACACAGCCGAATCAATTTGAAAAATTAAAGCACCGATCAGGGCATTCTCACCAATACTGGTATCAGGACATCCCTGGTCTGAAGGTCTTTGTAGGTGTCAAAAATCATGTGTAATAACACTAGCTAGGATTCTATCACCCAGCATGGGTGCCCAGACTTGCTCCGCTCTCCTTCTGCTTTTTCTGTGAAAAGTTTACAACGCAAAGTGCAGGGTTCAGTGGTGTAATACAGAGTGTAGAGGTTAGTGGTGTCATGTAGAAGTCAGCAATGTAATGCACAGTGCAGTGGTCAGAAGTGTAATGCATAGTACAGAAGTCAGTGGTGTAATGCAGTGGTCAGCGGTGTAACGCAAAGTGCAGAGGACAGCACTGTAACACAGAGGTCAGTGGTATAGCGCACAGTACAGAGTTCAGCAGTGCGATGCATAGTACAGAGGCAAGCGGAGTAATGCAGAGTACAGAGGTCAGTGGTATGATGCACAATAAAGAGGTCAGCAATAACGCACAGTACAGAGGTCAGTGGTGTGACACACAGTGCAAAGGTCAGTGGTCTAACGCACAGTGCAGAGTTCAGTGGTGTAATGTAGAGGTCAGTATGTATGCAGTGCAGAGGTCAGCAGTGTAATGTAGAGGTCAGCGGTGTAATATAGAGAGCAGAGTTCACTATGTATGCTGTGCAGAGGTAAGCGTTATCATATAGAGGTAAGTATGTACGTAGTGCAGAGGTTAGTGTAATCGTATAGAGGTCAGTATGTACGCAGTGCAGAGGTTAGCGTTATATTATAGAGGTCAGTATGTACGCAGTGCAGATGCCAGCGGTGTAATGTAGAGGTCAGTATGTAACGCAGTGCAGAGGCTAGCGGTGTAATGTAGAGGTCAGTATGTACACAGTGCAGAGGTCAGCGGTGTAATAGAGGTCAGTATGTAACGCAGTGCAGAGGACAGCGGTGTAATGTGGAGGTCAGAGGTCACTATGTACGCAGTACAGAGGCCAGCGGTGTAATGTGGAGGTCAGTGTGTAATGTAGTGCAGAGATCAGCTGTCTAATGTAGAGGTCAGTATGTAACAGTGCAGAGGTCAATATGTCATGCAGCGCAGAGGTCAGCAGTGTAATGAAGAGGTCAGTATGTACACAGTGCAGGGGTCAGCTATGTAATGTAGATGTCAGAATGTACGCAGTGCAGAGGCCAGCGGTGTAATGTAGAGGTCAGTATGAAAGCAGTGCAGAGGCCAGCGGTGTAATGTAGAGGTCAGAATGTACACAGTGCAGAGGTCAGTGGTGTAATGTAGAGGTTAGAGATCAGTATGTAAGGCAGCGCAGACGTCAGCGGGGGAATGTAGAGGTCAGCGGTCAGTATGTATGCAGGGCAGAGGCCAGTGGTGTAATGTAGGGGTCAGCGATCAGTATGTACGCAGTGCAGAGGGCAGCGGTGTAATGTAGAGGTTAGAAAGTATGCAGTGCAGAGGCCAGCGGTGTAATGTAGGGGTCAGAGATCGGTATGTAATGCAGCGCAGAGGTCAGCGGGGGAATGTAGAGGTCAGCGGTCAGTATGTATGCAGTGCAGAGGCCAGCGGTGTAATGTAGAGGTCAGCATGTATGCAGTGCAGAGGTCACACAAAAAGAACAGGTACTTACAGTTGTACTTTTCCTTCCTACTTCAGGTAGTGTGCCCTCTTCTCTTCCTCTCCTGGTGGTGGGAGATGGGGGGGGAGCAGTGAAGCCTGCATGTCCTGAGGCGATGCCTTCAGCCGCCTCATGGTGTCTCCTGCTCACTGTGCCTTTTGGTCCCACGCAGCAAAACTATGCTGCAGGACAATCGTGTGTAGTCTCCCTCCCAGCGTATAGCAGCTGAAAGGGGAGGGAGCTGCCGTCCGTGGCCGCCGAGGAGCCTGATCGGTACACGGGCATCAAAGAAAGAATTAGTCTCCTCCTGTTAAAATGGCCCCTGCAGGTGCCGCTGCAGGGGCAATCACTTCTTTTATCTCTCCACTTTCGGCCGCAGCAGCAGAACGGCCGAGAGGGGAGAGATAAAAAAGAGTAGGCATTTAGAGAGGCCTGGGGGGCAATTGCCACCCTGCCCCCTTGCCCAGTCCGCCCCTGCCCCAACTGTACACTATATTTTGGCTTTGACACATACGTAGCCCCTTCCACCTTAAGTGGAATGGCACTTTAAATTTAGTGTTGCTACCACTGTAATCAGTGTGGCTGATTTGTAGTCTGGTATCATTTGGTCATTTCTAGGTGTTCTGCTATTGATTTGACCTACCTGTAGTAGGGCGTGAACAATAGGGGAACATCAGAAGTGTTTATGCCTCACCAGCCAATCACTAGGAGTTTCATGGCCAGTGGTGCCTGCTGGGGAAGTGCATAAATCCTCAGGAATTGTCATGTGCTAGGGCAGGGGTCAGCAACCTGCGGCTCCGGAGCCGCATGTGGCTCTTTCATCCCTCTGCTGCGGCTCCCTGTCCAGGGGCGGAAGTTACATTTCAGGACCGAACAGCTGTTCCAGGGCAGATCAGTTCTCCTGCACATACAATTTGCTATGCCGATCTGCTCAGTACAGGGAAAGGGACCCAGGGACCAGCCCACCTGAGGCCCTGCAGAGCCCACCATAGAGAGTCTCAGATGGGCTGTGCAGGATCTATGGTGTCCTCTGCAGGGTCACACTCAGGTGGGGTCTCAGGTAAGCCCCGAGTCCAGTGCGTTACTATGCCCACATATACCTATATACATAGCATAAAGGGTGTTATCTTTTCTGTGGGAAACTGGTCCAAATGGCTCTTTGAGTGTTTAAGGTTGCTGACCCCTGTGCTAGGGGAATCCACCCCCGGCCTAGCCTGGAGATGGGATGTATGATGTTGGAGAAGCTGAATAGGCTTCCTGGAGGAAGCCAGATGTGGGCCCAAGGGGGGGGGGTCTGAAAACATTTGGGAAGGAGAACCAGAGGAGCCATTTGACTGCTGAAGGTACCTGGAAGGCCAGGGTGGCATTGACCTCAGGAACAAGTCTGGTATCTCTCCCAGGGAAGACCTCATGCATATATCCCCAAGTCAGCTGTTGGTCTACTACACAGTATCATTCTCTGCACAACTAAAGTAATTCTACAATGTGGAAACTTGAACGGATTGGTTAGTCTGGAGTCTGTGTTTGGCTGTTCTATAATAAAGCATCTGAAAAGTTCTTAAAGTGACTGTCGTCCAATTTACTGATTGCATCCCACAACCTGGCTAAGGATCCACCCCTGAGAGGCAAATGTCAGCCCTCCCTGCCTTTGGGGGTCCACCACAGGCTTTCAGGAGTCCAGAGCTCCACATAGTTTCTGTATCTGCTAGCACAACACCTAACCTTGGCACTATACACATCTATTTTGTTTGATCCTTCTGTGTGTATTTTCACTACTCCTGTGTTTTACCCCATTGCCATTGCTAATCCTGACTTGACTGTGGGCTTTTTGATTGCTGTTTGGCCTTCTTGTGCTGAAAAAGCAGTCTGTTTTGTACTTGGTAGGTGCCTGTCTTACCCTCTGTACAGGCACGGATCCAGGACTCACTGAACATCTAATATTCCATTACTCTATGGTATCAGTTATAACAGGGGTCAAAATTTCAAGTCCTGAGCTACTAGCCAGACCTTAAGAGTTACTAGCCACCAGTTGCCCCACCTAACCCTTACCCTACCCCGGCCTTAACTCTGCCCCTAAACACACCCTCTTAAATAATCTTATGATAATTCTTATCTTATGATAGTTGCCGCTTGTAAACGACAGATTAGGGATTCCTGCTGCAGGAAAACGCAAGTTCCTGACACAGGAATCTCTAATCACATCTCAAATATACTGTAGGTGTGAATGGGGCCTAATATACACATACACTATTCACATATTTTCTGTTTGAATTCAGTTGGGAAATGTATAAAACCAAAGTGAAATTGTGTGAATCTTGGGTGAAAGTGTGTAACTATAACCCTACGTCATGTTTTATACATTAAGCTTTCACTGCATTTATAACACAGATTCACTAGAACAATTGACCTGCACATTCACATTATCAAGCAACATTCACCAACATCTGTTCTTTAGTGGAACATAGTATATGCGTACTAATCATCCAAATTCCAACTAAAATAATGTGACATTTGCTGCACATTGACCAAAAAACATAAATATTTCACATTTTGATTTACCTATTTGTTTTCAAACACAGGTGTTAATGAATGTCAGTGAGGAGTTGATTAGAAGAATGTCAAGGTGAATCTTCAGAGTTACAGAATTTTACAAATCCGGTGAATGATTCATCAACAGATGTGCAGTGAATGTGCTATGACCACTTCACCACTCATTCACCACTTTATAGATATTCCCCAATGTGACTTTTCTAAATTTATATATTTAAGTAGATTTATAAATAGTTCCTTTTACAATGTCCTCATTTGTGAAGTACTTCTACAGTGTCGCCCATTTAAAAAAAAAAAAATAGGACAATACTAAAGCAAATTATATTATTCTGTATTATTTTTTATTTATTTCATGTGCTTTTATGCCTGCAGAAGGTTTAGTCTACAAGGCTGCATCTCCAGATGAAGAAGCCCTAGTCACTGCTGCCAGAAATTTTGGCTATGTTTTTCTTGCACGCACCCAAGAAACCATCACAATAAGTGAGATGGGTACAGAAGTAACCTACAGAATCTTGGCACTGATGGACTTCAATAGTGATCGCAAAAGGATGTCCATTTTAGGTAAGTGCATCCAGTGCTAACTCTCCTGATACACAATCAGAACAAGTTCTGCACCCCATTTGATGCCCCAATACAACCCTTGAGTACTTGAGTGAGGCTAAGATATGGGAATGATAACAGGTGATTCCCATTTATTAAAGTTCATATTACTAGACACAGATTTTACCTCTTCTCATTGACCAAATCCAACATTACACTGCGGTGGATATTTTCAAAGACTGGCAGATGTAAGGGAGTCATCTGTTCATCTATCAACACTGTAAAAGAATGGGCTAAGAATATTTCCACAGAACTGCACTAAGGTTTTACAAAGAAGAACATTTACAAAGAAATATACAATCAGATAATTGCTATAGTCCGTTTTTACATAAGAAAAACACATATACCTATTTAAAGATAAAGAATTATCATTCTTAGATATAATGCTAACAAGATTAGTAGATCTCTGCCAATGGCTGAACAGGTGTGCACGCTCTTCATCTTCCCCATTACCTCCGGAATAATGAAGGCAACATTTATTCACGTTTATCGGAATATATAGTGTGTTTTTTTTTTTCATTTACATTTTTTATTGAGAGGTGCAGAATACAAAATATTAAACAAAAATCATAGAGGCTATACACTGTAAATGTGCAAAAGTACAATATAAGAAATAGAAGTACAGGACGTCAGGACCAAATCAAAGAGCAATATAAGGACTAATGTATAAAAATTTGATAAATATAAATGCGATCAGTTTGAAGCAACCAGGGTCCAGCTGAAAAGAAGCCCTGAGTACGTCAATAACCTAAGAGGAGTACAGGGGCTGACGTGAATGTGCTGTGTAAATTGTTGGCACTATAAAATCCCTGTAATAAATAATCAGTCACAATAGAAATATG